TGGGGCACGATCCTCTTCTGACCCATAATGCAGGGCTTCCGAGAAGGAAAATGCCTCTGAAGAGCAGCCACAGGGAAGAACACAGAGTAATTTTCCCATTGCCTATGGCTCCTCACAGGAGTGAAAGCATTAGGAAAATGTGGGCAGTGGCGCAGTTCTGCTGACACAAGACTATTACCTTCCATTTATTATTTATTGAGCTGGTCGACTAGGCATCGTGCACTCCCTCACATTCTCACAGTGATCCTGCAAAATTGATGTTATTATTCATTTTATCAAAGAGGAGACTGCAGCTCAGAGAGGTTAAGTAAAAGCCCAAGTTTACAACTACATTGAAGAGTAAGGATTCAAATTCTGACTGATGCATTCCAAGGGCATTTCTTATCTGCCGTAACAAACAGTGTCTCAGTCCCATACCTTTGGCTATGAAGTTCCTTTTGCCTGAGGTTAGTCCATCTCTCTCTGCTTCACATTCCAGCTCCTGTAACTTCCCCCTTTCAACTGGCTTCTTCCTCTCAGCCCGCACCCATGGACACTTCTCCCATTTCAAAACAAACCAGTACACACAAACCTTTTTCTTGACCCTGTGTTTTTCCTCCTTCCTTTCTCATCCACGCTCATCGCCTCCATTTCTTCATCTCCATCACGCCCCCGAGTTATTGCACGTCACGAAAATCGCTCTGGGTAAAATCCCCAACGATTCTTTCATGCCCAGACTCAACCAGATTTCAGTCCTTGCAGCAGGTGATGCTCTTGACCACCTCCTTCTTACTAAAACGTTCTCCTCCCTCTGTTTCCATGGCTCCCTTCTCTTTTGATTGCTTCCTATGCAGCTCCTCATTCTCCATCTCCCCTTCCTCAGTCCATTCTGTAAATTCCTAAGGGCTCTGCCTCCAGCCTCTTCTCCACCGCAGGATTTTCTGGGATAATCATCGAGTCATGGCTGCAACCCCCACCTGCACGTCGATGGCACACAAATCTCATTTCCAGTTCTGACCTCACATCTGAGCTTCTGTGTCACAGATATAACTTCTAGATATGGCCCCTGAGTGCCCCAGGGGTCTTCAGAGTCCACATGTTCAAAATTGAACTCATCATTTTCTTCTCCCCAACTTTTCTTCTCTTCTTATGTCTTCCATCTGAGTTAGTGACATTCAGCCCTGGCACTCAGATAATCTACCCAGTAACCCAGATGGGAAACCTAGACTCCGAGACACTCGCCTGGCTTCATGCCCTCAACGTACCATACACCCCCACCACACACCCTGTCCACATCCAGTGGGTCGCTAAGTCCTATCAATTCTCCCCGCCAGTGCCTCTTCCACTGTCACTGAGCTCAGGCCCTTGGGGGTCAGGTGCATTCGCCTCCCAAAGTGCTGTGCTGACTTCCAGTCTCACATCTGCCAACAATCTTTCGCGGCAGCTAGGATGATCTTGCTTACATGGAAAGCTGGTCTTGTCTCTTCCAGCCTATGACCCTTCAGGGATTCTCCATCGTCTAAGGCTCTCAACCCTATCCAACTCTCCAGCATCAGCTTCCGCCACTCCCTCCAAACCCTGCACTCTGCTTAGAGCAAAATACCTGCAGTCCTCAGCTCCCGTCTTCATGTTCACAACTCGTTCCACCTGCCTGAAATGTCTTGCCTTCTCTTCCTCCCCTGGTGAAGCCTTATTCTTCCTCCTAGATCCTGTTCCTGCCTCATGAGCCTTCCCTGACCTCCCCAGGCCAAGGTGAGCCTGCCTCGCTTCCACTTTCCACTGTGCCTGCTCATAACACTTGTTACAGCCCCTAGGGCACTTAGCTCTGTTTGCGTACAGGGGGTGCTTCTCCCGGAGAGGGCAGGGCCTGTACTGTCTGCCTTTGCCTTCTCAGCACGGTGCACAGAACCTGGCATACTATGCTTGTTAGAGTAAAAGTTGTTGAATATTAAGTGCATGACTTTGGGGAGAGGTGCCCAACCTGAGCCCCACCCAGCTGATCTTCATAGAATCGTACGACTTGGCAGTCAGAGATAAAGCCCAACCTTGGAGATAAAATCCAAGCACTTCTTAATCTAGTTAGCTTTTGTGCATTCAGCATCTTCTTGGGGTCGGGCACCACTGTGCTGGGCACTGAGATTCCAAGGCGAAGGAGATACTGCTTTGCACCCCCGTGCCCCCCGCCCCCCACCGACAAGGAACTCAGATGTCAGGGGTTAGAAAACCAAAGTAAGAGCATCTTTGGCAATTCATGAGCAGGTGCTGTGCCCTCAGGATGGATGAATCTGTGCTTCTGTTTTCTGTTGGGGAGGATCTGTCCCATCTATCAATGCATATGTTAGGATTGGGATTAAAGTTATTTAGAACGAGGGTCAAGAGGACTTTACCAAACCTGCACCTCAGGAGCGGTCGGCAACATCACCAAAACGTACATGAGGCCAAGACTTTGCTGGGGATCATGGGAAAAACCATTTTAAATCTTGTGCTATAGGTTCCTGTGTAATATCTCCCAGCTGGCATTCACGTTCGCATTCAATATTTGTATCTATATCCATATTTATACCTATGACAGGATATGCTCTTCTGTCTGAGGAAGTAGAAGATGAATAAAAAAGGCCCAATATCAAGAAGTCTAAAATCTAGGAGAGCTAACTCATGCATATATATAACCAAAACGTAATAAATCCCTAAAAGATCATGGGATACCATCTATAAAGTATTTTGAATTTTGACTATAAGCTCAGGTGTTCTGGGCCAGCAAGCTTGCTAGTGGGAGCGCGATGCTAAATAGGGCCAAGGACATTAGCCAGTTACCTGGAGACAGATCTGCTCACTGACCACAGGTGACCCCTAAGCCCAGCCAGCCTCAGGCCTCATTCCTGAAAGCCCCATTTGCACATAAAAAGGGGAGGGGCAGCTGTCAGATACTGGGAAGGTTCCAGAGCAATTCTAATTTTAATGAGTCCTCAGCTACAAAGAGCATCCGTTTTCCTAAGCCCAGATGTCCACTCTCATTTTAAGTTGGCATGATCTGGCAATAGGAACAATCCCAAATTGTGTGAATTCAAAACACACCAAGTTTTGAAAGATATATTCTCCTTTTACAAAGTTAACATTTTTTTCCAGGTTTTTAGAGAAATTGATTCATCGATTGCAAAAACACTTTGCCGTCAGATAGCATACAATACGAATTTATTATTAAGTTTTCAAGAGTACGCTTCGTTTCAGATAAAGAAACGAGCCTTTTGTTGACATGGATTTTAGGGGAACAATACTAAAAAAACATCAAAGATCGTCAGACACACATACACACCCCACCGTATAGATAGGGAACATTCTCTGTCTTTCCCATAAGCGGCATGGAAACTGGGGCCAGAACGATCCTGCAGAAACTTCCTGATGAAAACAGCAGGGTCAGCCGTTCCCAAGCTTGAGCTGGGCTGTGGGGGACCGGCAGCCAGGACTTCAGCGCCTCCTTTGCAGCTCCAGAGATGCTGTACCATGGGGCAGCACCTGCGTGCCGCCGGTTCGAGGGGCTCAAGCAGGAGTCCATGGTCTTTGGCACGATCCTGGGGACAACCCCCTTACCACCCAGATCCATCTGGCAGAAAGATTCCAGATAATCAGCCCAAAAGTCACGTGAGCCAAATCTATGGCTCCCCCCACCCCGCCCCAACCCCCAGGGTTAATCACTCCTCCCGTTCTAGGTCCGCTGCTCCCGGCTTCCCGCTCACGCTTCCCCCTCGCACCCGAGCAGCCGCTGCGTCTCCTCTGCAGTGGGCTCCAGGATCGGCATGCCCCCCACCCTCGCTGCCCTCAGCAGCTTTTGAGGAAAAAAGGAGGGGTGCTTCTTTGTTCTTTCCTCAGGTTGACTCGGTTTATGGAATTCAACTCCCACCCCCATTCCAAGTTTGCAAATTTCTCACCATCACTTCGAGTGCCGGCCGCTTCATTCATCGAGACTTTCTGTGTTCCAGGCCCTAGGCTAAGTGCTCCTCTCGTATTAACGTAATCAAATCTTAGAGCCACCCTGTGATGTAGGTATTGTTATCACTACAATGCGGATAGAAAGAACCGATGTTTTGAGGGTAACTTGCCCAGGGTCTTACAGCTAATAGATGTCGCAGCCAGGTTTGGAGCCCAAGTCGGTTTTGACCTCGGAGCCCTAAATCTTTATTACTGTTCTTCATATAGCAAGAGTAAATATAATAGCTAATACTTACTGAGAAATTACTATTTGCTAGGTACTGTGCAAAGTACTTCTCTATACTTACTCTCAGAGGCAGGTCTGCCATTCACCAGTTATGTGATCTTGAGCGAGTTTCTTAACCTCCTTTTGATTCAATTCCGTGTCTGCAAAATGAGGCTAAAAATATGTTGTGAAGAGTAAGTGAATTAATATATGTAAAGCTCTTAGACTGGCACATATTAATCCCTCAAAACCGTGTCTTATTTATTTTTACTGTCGCCTCTAGTTCACAGTTTAGGAACCTTGGCTCGGAGAGATTAAGCAACTAATTGGTTCAGATTGCCCAGTGCACACGGCAGCATAGATCTGCCCGGAGTCCTGCGGTGTGCAGGCCCGCCCGCAGGTGAGTTGCACCTGACAGATGAGAGACAGTGCTTCGCCGGCGCTGCAGAACGCGCTGCAGAACGCGCTGCAGCTCGGAGGCCTTGAATGGCCCTTAGCACACACACAAGGCTGCGGGGCGTCCTCGCTCGGGAAATGGGCCTACGAGGGCCGGGGCGGTGTAAGGGTCTCCCCAGAACCTCCCCAAAGCAAGACAGGCAACACCTGTGAGCTCGCGGGCGGGGAGCCGTCCGGCTCAGAGCCCCGCTCCGCCGGGCACACACACTCACACCGCTGCCCGCAGTCCCCTCGACCCTGGCGCGGACACACACACACACACACACACACACACACACACACCCTCTACCTTTTAAGTCTTTCATTGGCTTTCCATGCCTGCTGTCCGAAGGCCACATTCCTTGGCCCTGGAATGTCCCCAATGCTCAGTTCTTTATCTGCTTGGATAACTCATCTTTCAGTCTCGCTGGAGTGTCTCTCCCTGACAGAGCCTTTGCTAGCCCTCCCCTTTCCTCTA